ATTGTCCCCAATTTGAGGGACTTTCACTTCCAGACGCTACTTTCTCCAGAGAAGACTGTGTATCTCCATAGATGCACTGCCAGGGAGGGAAGACAGGGCTGCTGTCTCCACCTGACACGAGCGAACCAAGGCCCACAAGGTTGCGTGACTCCAGTCACAACTGAACGTGAAAGGGCCGGCACAGCACTCTGGTCCTTCCTAATGCTCTGTGAGGTTCCCGCAGGTCCACGGGGCTTTTACTCTCTCTACCCGCCTTGCCCAAAGCCACGATCTCAACAGAAAATGAGCTGCCTTCATCCTGGATATGTTTCTGGTTCAAAAAAGCGTTGAAGAAATACCTGTACACCCATGCTCAGAGCAGCACTGCTCACAATAACCAAAACAGTGGCAACAACCCAAGTGTCCATCAATGGATGAATGAATGGACAGACAAAACGTGGTATGTACACACAATGGAATATTATTCAGCCTTTGAAAGGAAGGCAATCCTGCCACATGTTACAATACGGATGAACCCTGGGGACGTCATACTAAGTGAAATAAGCCAGTAACAAAAAGACAACTATTGTATGATTCCATTTATATGAGGTACCTAAAGGACTCCAATTCATAGAGACACAAAGTAGAATGTTGTTTGCCAGGGGCTGGAGGAATGGGTTTCAGTTTTGCAAGATAAAAAGAGTTCTGGAGATGGATGGGGGTGATGGTTGCACAACAATGTGAATGTACTTAATACCACTAAACTATACACTTAAACATTGGTAACATAGTAAATTTTATGTATATTTTACCACAGTTATTAATTTTTTTTAAAAAAAGAGTTGCACCTACATGGATTTCACCTCCAAATGGCCAAAGCATCAATTCACTCCAGGCCACTTGGATGAGCAGAATTTTTTTCAGTGACCAGTGCAACCTGACAGCTCTGACAATCACCCAGCACACTTCCTGTTTCTTTGTCTTTGTTTCCATTATCTTTTAATCAAACCTTATCAGTGAGACCAAAAAATATGCCGCAGCTCCATTAGTTGCTAAGTTCTTGAATGCCAAGATCAAAGACACAATGTTGAAAGGCACAAGACATCTGGGACACCCTACCGTGAGCCAGAGGATGCCTCTGTGAGACCCAGCAGCCACCCAGCCATGGGCTCTCCAAGGCAGAGAATGAGAACTAGTCCCTAAGAGGCACTCGGACCCTGGGCACCATGAAGTCAGGTTGGAAATGAGAAACTGCAGAGTTGTGGCTTCCACCTGACTACACAACTGCATCTTCCCCTTCCATTCAACCCACCAACAAAGCGTGACGGTGAAGGCAGATGCTGGCCTCCCACGACATCAGTGATGGCCTCAGCGCACTGGGCGAGGATTCTGGTTGCCGTCTCCAGTGCAGGCCTGTTTTGCTTGATGTGGATTTTTGTTTAGAACCAATATCGCCTTTCCCACATATGGAATGAAAAGCAAAGCAGCTACCTGGAGATCTGCTCCTCACCCCTCCATCCTTGGCTCCCCCGCAACAACGGGCTCTCCCTGAAAAACCCTCCGCACCCTTCAGGGACCAGCCCCGCTCTCAGCTTGCCCGTCAGGGCGGATCCCGCTGCCGTTCCCCCAACCTCTGTTCCCCCATGCTTCCCCGGCAGGCTTCCTCACCCTATCTCGGCACTACGAGCATTTCTGCTCGGATCATTCTGTGCCGTGGGGCTGCCCTGTGCATTGCAGGATGGGTGGCAGCATCCCTGGTCTCCACCCAGCAGGTGTCGGTAGCACCTCCATCCACCAAACCCAGAATGTCTCCCAGCACTGCCAAATGTCCTGAGACAGGACGTGCCCCTGGTTCAGAACCCCTGCTTATAGTGCAGGAGCTTTAGGTAGGCCCATGGCCGCCCGACTGAAAATCCGATTTCCTGGTCTGATTCGCAGCCAGACTGACTTGCTTGTCTGACGGAGGACACACTGCAGGGCACCACAGTCCAGAGTCCCCTT